AGAAACAAAAACGAAAAAAAAAAAAGGAAAAACCACCCAAAATGGGAGTCTGAGCCTGGGCTGGAAGGTGACCAGTTGAGCAGTCTGACCCACAAAATGGTCTGAAAACAAAAAATACACAGAAAAACTAAAAGACTTCCGAAATCTGAAAGAGGGATAGCTGTCCTGATCTATCCACACAAGGGTGTGGAGGCGAAGCGGGGCATCATCCGGGCCAAATGTGCACCTCTAGAGATTGGAGGCACCGATGTTGGCTAGGAGGTCAATTGGTCTGTTTCTCTCTCGTAAAATGTGCGAGATCCGTTGGCGAACCGACTGGAATGTGGATCTGATGCGCATGAGCAGGTACTTGATCTCTTTATGGTTCTCTTTTTAGTTTATTCAAGTTCATTTTATAGTTTTCCTGGTCCATCAGGTTGTTTTTGCATGTTTGTGTATTTTTGTGTTATTTGCATAATATTGTGTATGTTTGTGTTATTTGTTTATTTTTTTTATATTTTTCGTTTACTTTTGTATTTTATCTTGTAGGAAAATTTCCTTCAATCATGCTTGACGTCGCACGATATATGTGTTGTTAAGTGAAATTTAACAACGATAAATGTGGAAATTAAGTGTATAGAAAGCTGTAAATTAACTGAATTCTTATTGTTTTCAAGTCGGGTTTTGAGTACAAGAAGTCGGTTTATGTGGAACCTAACTATTTAATGTGTGTATTTAATGTCTCCAAAGAAGATTCTCGTACAAGAGTAAATGCTGATATTTATAGCCTTTTTTTACTCGTCTTTTGAGGTAAATTCGGCGGCATTAAATGTGAGTTGACCTCATAGGGACGGCTACTCTGCAGGTGTGCCATACGTAATGATTAGGGCATGTGTTGCCGACGGTTGTCTGACAGACGTCTTCTCTATGTCGACTTCACCTCGGTTTTTTGATGGAGGCCATGCTTGCAAATCTTCAAGGAGGTCGGTCCTCGTCCTGTCGACAAGGTCGATGTTCGCTTTTCATGTTGTTATTCCAAGTAGACTCTTTTTTCTAACCCCTCGATGCTTAGTCGAATATGCGCAATTAACCTTCCACGTGGCATTTTTTGATTCAACTGGCTGAGTTGATTTTCACCATAGAGGCCCCCGACATAAGGAAGCATACGAGTTGTGATGGATTTTGATGTCGTTTTCCATTTGCTAAAACTGACCTGGAATATCTTAAATTCCCCCATACGTTTGGATCCTTAGACTGATTTTAATTGTTGTCTCTCAAGCTGAAACGGCGTGACAGTTACAAAAGACACTCCAGTTGCGAAAATGCTTGCCTTCATTTAATGCGTACAACAGATATGATAAATGGCCCTTTATCATAACGACGGTGTCACACGTGTCGAATTACAATTGGTTTGTCTGCTTTAAACACGAAAGTTGTGACGCTTCGACTGGAGACGTGTCCATTACACGTGCCCTCATCCAACGGATCTTTTAATCCCTCTATATTTATCGACTTCTTTCAAATTATTACTTCTGCAATTTACTATCTCCCAACTTCTCGAACTTCCTTTGCTTAATTTCTGCTAAATTCCTTTGTTTCCAAGCGCACGCGATCCTTTTTCGCGATTCTTCTGGCAGGGTTTTCGAATTTTTGGTAAGGATTTCCTCCAATTTCTTTCTTTTCGTACTTTAATTCAAAATCAACGAACAAAATGACTTCTATGAACGAAGAACGGGCAGCTTCCAGTAGTAGCCGGACGGTATCCGACAAAAGCTTTGATATGGATCTGGCAATGGAATATTATCGGTGGGACCATCTCTTCATCGAACGTCTAGACATCAAATGGGGCAATATTGAGGGTGACCTCGAAGTCGAAAAGACCTTAAGTATACCAAAGGGATATTGGAGATAGACATCGCGTCGATGGCCTGATGTCGACATGGAGTTTTTAAGGGAGCCAAGTATCTTGACCAATGACGACGTAGTGGCGCTTCGGGATAGTGTCCAGATCCGGCCTTCAGTAAACATCTTCGCGCCTTATCCGGGAGAGAGAATCCATTACCCTCCTCCCGGATGTATTGGGATCTTCGCTGAAAGTCTGAGGTCGGGTTTGAGATTTTCACTGCCCAGCATCATAACCGACTATCTTCGTGATTGGGGGCTCGGCCTCAGCCAAATCACACCAATTGGACTTCTGGTGTTGTGCATCCAAAAAAGTTGAGAACTACCCTCGATTGACGAAATGAGGAGCATTCTCTCGTTCAAGAGAAGTCGGGAGAGGATGGATTCGACGCTGACCTGCTGTTTCTTCTTTACAACAAAGCCACAACTAGGATTGAAAGTCGGAGATTTGATCACCGATATCCCTGATACACTTCACGACTTCCAAGAGGAATGGCTTTAGGTTGGTGGAGATTGACAGTCGACCAATTTCTCTAATGAAACACCAATTGATGGGATGACCATCACTCGGATTCTTACGGTATATCGTATGTATACTTTCTTTGTTGTGTTATTCTAATAGTTTGTTGTTTCCTTGTACTAACAGGTCGGAACTTTCGTGTTTGTAGCCCAAAAAATTAAAGAACTGAAGCTAAGCACCGAGTTCAGAGAGCGGTTGGAAGAACTCCTCCGACTCGACCATTCAGAGCGAAGCTACCGTCTTTTGCTTAAGGATTCTAAACTCGAACTAGCTAGATTAATTAACCTTAGGTTTTGCCGACGACAACTTTGAACCTGGTACGTTACTCACACGACGTCAATTTGTTTTCGAAGTCTGTAAGTTTTCGACTTACTCTAACATCAATAAATTAATCGCTTCCTTCTCTTCCCCTTGCAGTATACTATCCATTGCTCGGGTTCTTCGGGTTCAAAACTATTCAAGCAGCCAAGGACTTCCGAATTCGTTTCCCTAATTCGGATTTCAAGCCAAGAAAGGCAAGGACAAAAACAAGGAGTTGCAAAAATTAGTGATGGGTCGCATGCAACTAATCCACAGATTAAAGAAGAAGAACATTGGCGGCCAAGGTTCCGCCAGTGCGAGCTCGGTTGCCATATTTCACGATGCGGCGCCGAGCCAAACAATTGGACTTCAGACGAGCTTGGCCCATGTCACCGGGAGATGGTTACGCCAGTGCCCATTCCTCAGACCGAGTTGGAGAAAACAACAAAGCCGATTTGCTCTGACCTGCAGATCATATTGTCGAGCTCAGAAGGAACCTAGGTAGAGAAAAAGGCTTCCGAAGAGTCTGAGCCTAAAAAGATGAGGCTTCGCAAGAGGTTCGAGGGTGAACCAGATGTCTCCGAGGAGGGGAGAACAAAAAAAGAAACATGATGTCGGCCAGATTGAGAAGGAGAAGAACGCCCCCATTCACCAAGATGGAGGCAAGTCATTTATCCGTGTGGACAATGAGAGGGCGCTGAATTATAATTTTCCCGAAGGGGTTGTGGAGGATTAGTACGCAATGTTCCAGTCTTTAGAGGTGCCCAAGATTTCTAACAACATCACCCCTACATTATCGTCGACGCTGCCCGGGTCCCGTTGATGGCTTGGGACCCGGTTACTGAGGCCGGCGTGTCTGCCATGCCACGTGTCCACAAGCTCGGCATGATAATTCTTGCCTCGGTAGGGCATTAGTAAGTCTTGCTGCCGTCGAGGATGAATATCGGTTGAACGATGCGGAGCTGAATGATAAAAAAGACAAAGTGGCGGTGCGCGATGGTCAGATCGCATCTTTGGAGTCGAAGTCAACCAACCTTAACGCTGAGGTGGATGAGAAAAACGACCAGTTGAAAGTGACGCAGGCTGAGATAACCGAGTTGATGGTCGAGAAAGAGTGTCTCATGCTGAGAACAGGAAGCTCACCGACCAGCTCGGTGTCTCTAGCAGAACGCCAGTCCCGCGAGGAAAAGCTTCTAAAAGATCGCGAAGAACACCAGCAGACTCATTAGGATCGCTCCGAGAGGCACTTTTGCTCGGAACTAGAGAGGCCCATCAAGTCGAGGTGATAAGGCTGCGCGAAGAGGTGACCACCCATGACGAGTCCATGTATGAACGAGGGGTCAAGGCCAGAAAGGATCTTGGGGTTAAAGAATATAAAGAGTCGGAGGCCGAGCAGGATATTGAGCTAAATACACACCTTAACCTCAGGTGGGTCATCGACCGATTCCAATCAGATATCTACAGTGTCAATGAGTTATGATGTTACGGAGGCTTGAGAAACAGAACTTCGACCCTGAGATCAAAAGCATGCATATTCCGGCGGATGATGACAAGCAGGAATTTTGCGAGTGGATGTTGGGCTTGGCCGAGGCTTATGCGGTTCATTCAGGCCTCCCTCTCCTTAGCAAGGAAAGACAAGTCACCCTCCGAAGAGCGTTTGACGATATGGTTGCCAACAAGATGGTGGCAGCCGCCGTCAACAAGGTCGTTGAGAAGTCGGTGGCCGAATCTGATGTCGGGGAGACAATGGCCGAGGCGCATGAAGTTCAAGACCTCGAGGTTGTGAGAGTGACCTCCATGGTGATTGAAGCTGTTGTTGTTGCCTAAGAAGCTTCCATCTTGGAGAAGCTCGGGGAGAAGATCGCAGATGCCTCAGCGAAGCCAGAAGAAAAGACTGCAGAGGCCCCTTGATTCCCGTTTTGTTTAAATTTTTCTTTATTTCAGCTATTTATTGTTATTTGCGTATTTCAACTATAGGCACGTCTCTTTTAAGCATGCTTTTTCTCATTTGATGTAAGGAGATTCTCGTTTTATGTTTTGATGAATGAATGTCTGAATGTTTTATCCGTC